GATCTATGAAGAGGGGAGAAAAATGTTTTGTCTTACTGCTGCGGCCAGCACAGCAGGTAGGATTGAAAGTGGTTGGCGCACAGTTTGGGAAAAAGAAACTAGAGACAGAATTAAAGTTATAAAGATGGAACCGGGGGACTCAAGACCTCTTGGGTCAAGAGCCCTGTTCCTTGGAACCACATCACTTTTATTTAGTGTCTTGGCAAGCAGAAAGTATCTGTTGTGTTACAATGAAGTCAGCCTCCTCCAGTCACATCTCCCATTGTATTGATTACTTTAAACTATATTTGTTATTTTCTTGTACAAGGGCTATCACCTAGCTGGAGGTCATAGACCCGCATATGCCTTGGGAAAACATCTTAGTGTGTGCACAAGCAGTGTTCTGAACTTGTGCTGACCCGGCATTCCAAAGTCCACACTATGTTTTTCCTTAGCTTAGCAGGGCATGACAACCCCAACTGATCAACCCGATGTACTTTTATTTGGGTTATGCTGTATTGCTGTATTTTGCTTTTATTTTTTTCCCATGGTGATTTTCTCATTTAGCCAGAGCAACAGGCGGCTGACTATTAACCCCTGAACCTTACTCCTGCAGCCTCACACCCTTGCCCCTTGGAGGGCAGGTGGGGGAGGGAGTGCTCCTGCTCCTGGCCTGTGGCAATGAGGGGAACTAAAGGAGAGTGATTCAGTGGGTTCAACTCATTGCCGCGAGGTGTTTCCTCCCAAGGGATTAATATTTGAGAGCTGAGTTGTGTCATCTAAAAAGTTCAGTCATCCCATTGAATGTGCGTATGATTTTTGGTTGTCAGATCTCCTTTGCAGTTAGCACTGTATCTTTTGTCCTAATTTTTAAAGGAATTTTGAGATATGATTTACATACAAAAGATGCACCCATTTCAGGGGTGCAGTTCAATAAGTTTTGACAGATAGATAAACCACTTAATCACTACCACAATCCAAACAGTGAACATTTTTGTCTCCCATGATCCTTCTCAGCAGTTCCCACACTTCATCCCTGGCCCCGGGCAGCTTTGGATAGAAAGTTTTGCTTTCTATCACTATGGATTAGTTTTGCTTTTTCTAGAGTTTCATGGCAATGGAATTACTCAGTATGTACTTTTCTTTGTCTGGCTTCTTTTGCTCAGCACAGTGTTGTTGAGATTCTCCATGTTGTGTATATTAGTGATTGATTCCTTTTTATTTTCAAGTGGAATTCCTTTATATGGATTTATCGTGATGCTGTTTGTCCATTCATCAGTTAATGGACACTTCCGTTTCGAGCAACAATTATGAATAATGCTGTTATTCGTATAGCTCATGTCTAGGAGTAGAAATGCTGGGTCATATGGTAAGTGTATGTTTAACTTCATAAGAAACTGCCAGAACACATCATGTTCTTCTTAGGAATTTGATTCTTTTGGCTGGAGTTGCCGTTTTAACACTAGTATTGAATGTACCCCTCTATTCCCATTGGATTTTGTAGACTATCTGAAAACAGATTGGTCTAGAAGTTGTGGCTTAGGATCCATTCTGGGTGAGGCAGTATTGGGTTATTGCTTTTGCTAAAGACACCAGGCTGGCCAGATAGTAGTGTTTGAACAAGTGGCCTGTGACCCTTGGAAGAGAGTGTGTTTCAAGGCTATGGGAGAGGCTGTGCTCGCCCCAAGTGAGGATACAGCTCATTTCTGAAGGATGTGAAGTGTTTGTGGGGGAAGTCTTCCCCCATGGAGAAGATAGAGGGCTTCTATCCCAGCTCTCTCCTTAACTTCTCTGTCCTTTTAGGGAGAGAAGCAGGTGACCAGTTCAGTCTGAGAACTACTGTGGTGGATGTAGAATGGATGAAACCTTGGCTCAGGGCCTGTTTTTGCTTCTAACTAGTATAGCAAATGGAAATGAGATACCAAACAAGACTGAGAAAAGTGCTTTGTAATGGAAATCATAGGCAAAAATAAGTTACTTTTCATCTATACATTAACAAATAACCAATACCAATGCCTAGTCTGTTTCTGCTGCTGCTGCTAAATTGCTTCAGTCGTGTCCGACCCTGCGCAACCCCAGAGACGGCAGCCCACCAGGCTCCCCCGTCCCTGGGATTCTCCAGGAAAGAACACTGGAGTGGGTTGCCATTTCCTCCTCCAATTTAAAATAAATAATGCTTGTAATAGGAATCAAATTTCAGATCACCATTTTGCAATGGTTATTTCAATAGATCACATTTTGTCTGTTTAAATACAGCCATGTACTTTCAGGTATTTTTTTTTTTTGGAGGGGGGTCCTATTGTTTTATTTTATTTTTCATTTATTTTTATTAGTTGGAGGATAATTACTTTACAATATTGTAGTGGTTTTTATATTCTTTAAGTATGTTGAAAGCAATTCAGGTTTCATAGACAAGCAAGTGAGGAAATGCTGAGTTGCCGTCTCTCGCTGTTGGCTGTCTTTTGGAAGCCTGACTGTTCTAACAAAGTCATTTTTGTGTCTCATTAACCTTGTTGGTGGGTGTATTATCTCTTGTTTAACAAGTTACCACCATTTAACAGCTTAAAAAAGTCACACATTTATTATCCCACAGAATCTGCAGTGTCAGGAATCCTAGCATGGCTTAGCTTGGTTTTCTGCTTCAGAGTCTCTTACAAGGCTGCGATCTAAGTGTCGGCCACAGCCGGGGTTTCTTCTGAAGGCTAAACTGAGGAAGGATTCCCCTCTGAGGACACATGGTTGTTGGCAGAATTCAGTTCCTTGAGGTTCACACTGGGAGTCTCTGTTCCTAGCTGGCTGTTGGCCAGAGACCGTCCTCTGTGTCTTATCATATGGGTCTTTCTAACATGGCGGCTTGTTTCGTCAATATGCAAGCCCAGAAAGCAATAAAGAGTGTCTTCTAGCAAGATAGAATCCACAAGTTTATGTAACCATATCACAAGAGTGATGTCCCATTACCCTTACTGTATTTTGTCTGTGCTTGTATTCATGCTAAGTCACTTCATTTGTGTCTGACTCTTTGCGACCCATGGACTGCAGCCCACCAGATTCCTTGGTCCACGGGATTCTCCAGGCAAGAATACTGGAGAGGGTTGCCATGCCTTCCTCCAGGGGATCTTCCCAATGCAAGGAATGAACCCACAACTCTTGCGTCTCCTGCATTTACAGGCGGGGTCTTTACTACTAGTGCCATTCTACTGACTAGAAGCAAGTCATAGTCCCCACCCCCACACCCCACCATGTCACACACACTCAAGGGGAGGGTATTACACAAAGATGTGACTACCAGGAGGCCTCTTAGACTCTGCTTGACAAGCTGGGCTGCAGTCAGACCTGCTGACCTCTGAAACTGAACACATGCAAATAGTTGCCTAGAGATTCTAACACTGTGAATTACTCATTCACAGAAGTAAGAATTAATGGATTTTTGGCACAGATTGTAGAGGATGAGCTTTTACTCTCCAGACTTACTATAGGAAGTCAGTAGAAAAATGGATTGTCAGTGGGATTTTCATCTATCACAACTCAGTTCTCAGTTCAGTTGCTCAGTCGTGTCTGACTCTTTGTGACCCCATGAGCTGCAGCACGCCAGGCCTCTCTGTCCATCACCAACTCCCGGAGTCCACCCAAACCATGTCCATCCAGTCGGTGATGCCATCCAACCATCTCATCCTCTGTCAGACCCTTCTCCTCCTGCCCTCAGTCTTTCCCAGCATCAGGGTCTTTTCAAATGAGTCAGCTCTTCACATCAGGTGGCCAAAGTATTAAAGTTTCAGCTTCAACATCAGTCTAGCATCTGTACAAAATCTGACCCAAAGGAGGCTCAATAAAAACTATTTGCCTGCCAAGGTTTTGGTTTCAAAATCTAGTGTAACTGGATCAGTTCTATTGCTCTCCTTTTATAACAAAATTCTACAAATTCCTTCATCCTGAAATGAAATCTATAAATAGAATTTACCCTACACATAATCTCAAACATCAACATGACCTAACTGTAATATAAAAAACATACCAGATTGGTGGTTGCCAGAGGTGATGGTGGAGGGTGGGATAAATAGGTAGAAGAGATTATTATGTATTTTTTAAAAATAGAAATTAAAAAGTATACTGTAAAGTTTTTAAATGTTAAATACCAAAGGAGAGTAATTCATAGTAAAAATAATGTATTTCAAGATGTGAATGCTCTAAAACAAAATGGGTAGGTGCTTGCTTCTGAGTTTAGAGTCACCATTAATGAGAGAGCCGTAAATTCAGACTGATACTCAGTTACTAGCATGTGTGATTAAGGGCCCAGATCCTATAATTTTTCATTAGTGATGTGATTTCCCAGAAAGTGAATGATTCTTGAAAATATTCTGAACAAAGCAAAACAAAAAAACCATCCCACATTTTACACAGGCGTTTCAGTCCTAGAAAATTCAGTGTATATTCAAACTGCACAAAAAATACTTTGCTTTGAAGTTAGTTTTTAAGCTCAAATGATTTATAAATAAGATTTTCCTCTATAGTTTTGTGTCATACAGGACATTGGGAAGTATGAGGGACTTGAAACTATTACACAGGACTTTGCCACACTTAGCAGAACAAATAGCTGGGATCTGGCACTTCTGCCCAAACATACTCCCCCAGTTCCAGGAATGCCCCCAGTTATCATAACAACAAAGCATTCCCTTGGATTTCACAAATTGGCAGCACCACTTCCCACTGAGAACCACTGCCCTAGGGCCTAGCCACTAGGGGAAAGGAAAGTGATGCCGTTATTCTGGTTTGCTTGGACACAGCTAAATATTAAGGGTACCACAAGAGACATGAGGATAGAGATCAGTGCTTCAAAGTCTCTATTGTGACCCTTTAGCCAAGGCACAGTTGAGTGCTTGGATCAAGCAGAAGATGGCAATAACTGCAGGACATGGGGAGAGAGGGAACCCTGTGTATTAGGCTGTCAGGTGTGAGCATCTGAAAGTGAACATGTTGAATGACAAATTTTAAGGATACTGACAAAGTGCTTTCTTTTCCAACAGAAACCTGTTTCCTTCAAATCTTGTGGTTGCAGCTTTCCGGACGGTAAGCTTGATGCTTAGCTAAAAATAGGAAACTTTGGGTGTTATATGTTTATAGCATATAAATTACTGCTATAGAGTTAGGTAAGGTGGAACAAGGAGGGTTGTGTGCACTTAGTATCATTGGCCTAAATTTTTATAGATGGGCCCCTGGAGTGAAAACAAACAAAACAACAAGAAATCAAAAATTGTCCAAAATATCCCAGCATCTTTTCACATCACTTAGTACCCTCAAATCACATTTTATGGAGCTCTTAAATATTTTAGAATTTTAATTTTTTTTTTATCTTTTTAAGTTTTTTGGCCGCATTGCACAGCCTGTGGGATCTTAGTTCCCAGACCAGAGGTTGAACCTGGGCCATGGCAGTGGAAGTGCTAAATCCTAGCCACTAGACTGCCAGGGGAATTTCCTAGAATTTGTTTTTTAAATGCATTTTTATCTTTTTTTTTCTGATTATAACTATAATATATGCTCCTTCCAAAAAAAAAAATTAAAGTACAAAAGAATAGAAGGAAATAAAAATCACCCATAATCACTACCTAGAGCTACCCATTAACATTTTGTTATACATCCTTCTGGTATGTTTTTTCTATATGTGTACATGTGCACCTGCACACAGACACACATGCACACAAGATTTTAAAATAATTATACTACATACATTGTTATTATGTATACACATATTGTTCAGTAACCAGCTCTTACTGTGAACATTTTCTCATGTTAGTAAATGTCCTTCTGCATGAGTTATTGGCTGTGGTATGAATATGTCATAATTTTACTCAATCAGTCCCATGTGGATGGCTGTTTCTAGTTTTCCCCTAACTTTAGCAATCCTGAATGTAATGTTCCTAGAGCCAAGCTTTACACAAAGAAGGAATATAAAGGTCTAGATTAGATGGACTAAACCGATTGCCTTTTTCACACACCGTCTTTTCAGTTTCCACTCAGTCTTGCTCTTTAAAAAAACAAACCAAAAAACCCTGGGTATAAATACAACTGTGGCTTGTATGCATAATGTGAGATAGAAGGTAAGAGAAAAATGAAAAGTGTTGTGGCTTTCAGTGCCTGCCACGGAAGGTGTGGGGTGGCTTTGTATCCCCTGCCACCCCTAATCACAGGACAGCTGATCATCTCTGCCTGTCTGAAAGCTTGATAAGTCAAAGCTGAGAGAGACCAGAGCTCTTTAAAGGCAGGTTCAAAGCAGAGGCCTCTGGGTCTGAACTGCCTAATGGGCCCCTTTTTAACAGTTCAAAAGCCTCATGTCCTTCGAAGGGTGAGGAAGGGTGTCATATAACAGAGTCCCCTGAACGTTAGTGCACACTGCTGCAGGCAGACACCTGTGTGTGTCAGGCAAGAGTGTGTGAAGTCAACCACAGGACGAGAGTTGGAAAGACAGTTCCCCTCTGATGAGTAGGTCTCCCTGAAGACTCAGCCAAAAAACACCATCTTGCTCCCCACCCTTTGTTTTGAGCAGTGGAGGGCTGAATGCATATTAGAAACAGATGCTGAAAAGCAGTCAAGCTCAAGTAAGTTTTGGAACAGAGTGGAGCATAAATAAATGAATGAAAATAAAATGACACATCAAAAAAATGAACTTTACTATTATGGAATGAATACCAAGTTTCTCCAAATAATATGAATTCTCAGCCGTTTAAGATATCAGCTTGAAACTGTACAGACCTTCTCCAAACTGGGGTCTGGGGACTGAGGAAATTCTCTCCATTCCCTTGGGTTCCTAAATAATCAGCGGTCTCCTAGAGTGCATGTTGCCCTGGGCTTAAATGACTTTGGTACAGTGCTCAGAGGCCCTTGTCCGGCCAAGCCAGTGAGGAGTGCCAGCAGACCTGGAGGGAAGAACGGCCAAGTAGCAGGAGGCCCAGCAGTCCTCTGGACTCCTCTTGGGGAAGGTCTTCAGCGGTGAACTGACGGGGTTTTCTCTTTCTCTCGCTCACAGTATGCAACTGACTACAGAGAGGTGATCCACAACACAAGCGCTGGAAACGTGACCATTGAAAAAGTAAGGGTTTTTGTGAGATCACTTAACGACAAATCCTATAACACAGATAATGCTTCTGAACTCAAGGAGCATACATGATGCTTGTCTTTTTCTCAGCAGGACTGAAGACTGGGATTTGAATTGCACAGTTTAGGTTTCTCTTTGAGCCGTTTACCATCTTTAGGATGTCCATTTCATTGAATTGAAACTAATGTCCCCTTTCTTAAAAAAAAAATTGTGTAACATCCCTTCTGTTTTTCTGAAATATAAATAACAGGTGATCTAACCTACCCTTGCACGTAGAATTTGTCATAGGGGTTTAACTCGCTATAACCATCATTCATTCACAAGTATTTTTTTGAGTACCTGTTGTTTCTTTTGTTGTTGTTGTTGTGTGTGTGTGTGTTTTATTTGAACACACCACAAGGCATCTTAGTTCCCTGACCAGGGATTGAACTTGAGTCCCTTGCAGCTGAAGCACAGAGTAACCGCTAGACCACCAGGGAAGTCCCTTGAGTACCTGTTGTTTACCAGACACTGAGCTAAGTCCTAGCCTTCATGCTGGAGCTGAAAGGGATGAGGGACCTCAGGGGTTATTTAGCCCAGTGGTGAAGCTACCATGGGAAGAAGGAGGAACTTTGCCTTCCCCCCATCCCCCTTACACCTCTCCAGGGCTAAGTGGCTCTGAGTTCTCCCAGCCTGTCTTTGATTGAAGGGAAAAGTTCTACTTTTTTTTTTAAAGTTGAAAGCTAATAGTTTAGTCCCTTTCACTTCATCTTGCAGATGAAACATCTGAAGCTCAGAGAAGTTATTTTAATATCAGCCAGGACTAAGCTCAGACTAGAATGATGGTAAAAATGCGCTTTCAGTTTTTGCCACACTGACATGTTTCCTATTCAGAATTTCATAATGTGTTGTGATGGAATAAAATGTTTGTCTAACATATATGCTTATAGTAGTGAGATTCAGTACTGGTGGAAAAAAAATAAAGAACACATTATATTTATACATTTTAAGTCGGTGATTTAGGAAGGAATGTCCTGAAAATATCCATGTTGATTCTGAACATCATTTTTGGAATTTGTCAGTGAGGAGACTATGGTAAGACCCTAGCAACAAAGAATTAGTAGGCAAAGTTAGAATCACTGACTTTTTTTTTTTTTTTTGGTCACACCCTTGAGGTTTATGGGATCTTAGTTCCCTGACCAGGGATTGAACTGGGGCATATAGCAGTGAAAGCACTGAATCCTAATCACTAGACCATCAGGGAATTCCCTACAATCATTGACTCTTGATCTGAAGGACCTTTTCTCCAGTCAGCTTGTCTTTTAAAGTGAAGTGAGGCGAAAGTCGCTCAGTCGTGTCCGACTCTTTGCGACCCCAGGGACTATACAGTCCATGGGATTCTCTAGGCCAGAATACTGGAGTGGGTAGCCTTTCCCTTCTCCAGGGGATCTTCCCAACCCAGGGATCGAACCCAGATCTCCCTCATTGCAGGCAGACTCTTTACCAACTGAGCCACAAGGGAAGCCCTGTCTTTTAAAAGCAACCCTTTGAAATGATTGTCCAGCCTCTAGCTGAGCACATCCAGTGAGGAGAGGTTCAATACTTTCTGTTTCAACCTGTGCCCATTTCCAAAGCTTTCACAGTTAACAAGTAGGTGAAAATCCTGTTTGTTGACTTTCCAAATCCTGAGACTCCATCTCCCCTTGAGTTCCCGGCCCCTTGATCTGTGAAATCACCGAGTGCTAAAGGAAATATGAGCCTTTCCTCTTTCTGGGCACACTATTGCAGTCTGACGGAGACCTGAGCAAATGCATTCTTTAGTCCTCACTCATCTGTTGTAAACTCAGACCCTGTGTCCCCTCTGATCCTACAGATCCCCGTTGGCACCGAAATTGAAGGGATGAACATTTTAGGATTGGTCCTTTTTGCCCTGGTGTTAGGAGTGGCCCTGAAGAAACTCGGCTCCGAAGGAGAAGAGCTCATTCGCTTCTTCAACGCCTTCAATGAGGCGACCATGGTGCTGGTGTCGTGGATTATGTGGTGAGTGTCACCCTATCACCCACTCTCTCTCTCATGTCTCCTGCCATCCAGAAAAGAACCCCACTTAGCTGTTCTAGGTCACCCCTGTGGGGCCACATGGCGCAGTGCTGTCTGTGGATGAGGTACCACAACCAGTCTTGGCACAAGGGTTGAAGGATCTCAGAGAAATAGGCGTGCACCATGGTTAATAGTCACTTCCTCGTCACCCACAGTGACCCCTGGGGTTCTATCACTGATGATTTATCTATGAGTCTCACCGTTATTCTTGCCACATCTTGTGGGGCAATGAATTCCATATAAAATAAGGCTTATTTCTCTTTAAAGAATAGATTAAAGCTTCAGAAGGGCCCCTTACTATAGTATTTTATGACACGGAGAACAAATCCATCTTTACCCCGTACGTACAGGTAAACTTGGAATGGTCTTTACATGAATGTCTCTTTATATAATAGCAATGAAAGGGTGCTTGTTTAATAAAAACCACCAGATTGATTTCTGGCTAACAAGGAAAAATTTGACAAGATCTCTCAAAGTAACTGCTCAGAAATCATACCAATTCCAATGCCAATGCTTCAGTAAGCTTTATCCTGCTGTTTTACTGAAGCCAGACTTTGTGTGTTTTAGTTTCTACCCACTCGTTGAGAAACTAGTTTATCTTTTCATGCACAAAACTTGTTCCTTATTGTCAACCCTTAAATATCCTAGGCTGTCTCTCTCAGAGGGCACTGGGATGGCAGCTGGACTGATTTTAAGAGAGAAGCCTGGAATTTGGTAGGAAAGCTTGAGATTGGTTGGGAAGCCAAGTTCAGAGCCTCCACTAGTAGTATTTATCCTGCTTAACCAAGTTTTCTTGCTCAGCCCCAAACTCCAGAGTCTGAGTCTGCATCAGAAACATGACACTTCGTATGACTGCTGTTGTTCTGGGGAGAAAAATATTTCCAGAAAGGAAAAAGTGTTTTCATCCTGTCAGGTTCTTTCCCTGGCTTGTTTTTATTGGTCTGAAATCCTCCCAAAGGTTGGATTAAAGAAAACTGTGCAGGAAAGTGATGTTCCTATGTGAAGACATTTGTTTTCAATCTGAAACCAATTTACAGTCATTCCTTCAATGTGACGTGTTAGTTATAGAAGCAGACATTTGGAAAGGCAGACCCGGCTGAGTATCTTAACTGCAGTGGGATATCTGTTGCCCAGAAAGTGCATCCCACCCAGAACTGGGGTTTAGGATGCCTTAACTGGTTAAAGGGGCTTCCCTAGTGGTTCAGCGGTAAAGAATCTGCCTGCAATGCAGGAGACACAGGTTCAATCTCTGGGTCAGGAAGGTCCCCTGGTGGAGGCCTTGGCAACCCATTTCAATATTCTTGCCTAGAGAATTCCATGGACAGAGGAGCTTGGCAGGCTACAGTCCATGGGATCCCGAAAGAGTCTGACATGACTTATTAACTAGAATACATACAAGTACACACACACAACTGGTTAAAGGATCTCCCCCAGGTGTGGGAGGGATCTTCAGTAGTAGCTCTTTCTTTCCTTCACTAATTACCTACTATAGTATCAGGCACCTGCCTAGCCTGTACTGTTCATAGAAATAATTTCTCAGTAGATGGTCAGCAAACCTTGCAGGCCATATGGTCTCTGTCATAACCGCCAATGCTGCCATCACAGGACAAAAACAGTCATAGACAATTTATAAATGAATGAACTTGACTGTATTCCAGTAAAACTCATGGTGCCAACCCATGCATTAAATTGTCCAGGGAAGAAGGAGGGAAGGGAGTCCTCTGAAAGTATTAGAAGAAAATACAGGGGTAGAGAAAGTCCTCCGACACAAAATACAGAAAGGAAAAGCCATAAAAAGCTGCTAAATTTGATTCTACCAGAATATAAAAATGTTTGCATGCAAAGGACACCTTGGATGAAGTTACAAGACAAGACACCTATTGAAAAAAAGTGATATATATTTACATATCGTCTCTCCACACACACACACACACACACACACACACACACACTCACACTCAAAGCGTTGGGATTGAAAGGACTGGTACAAGTTCACAAAATGTTAATCTTTCTGTAGTGAAATTGATAGAGAACTTGAGAGTAAGTGTTAAAAATCTTTTATAGCAGTTTCATATTCTTCAGCATCCAAGCCATGATCATTGTTCTATTTTGTGTGTGTGTGTGTCTTTTCTAAGAATACTGGTCCATGACCAACTAGGTAGAAATGAACCAGTCTTTCACCAAAGATAGTTTGAGAAGAACTAATATAAAGAGCCCTGACTACTGAAAAAGAAAAAAAGACTGAATAAACTCTTAGAAAATGAAGAAAGGAAATGAGCAGGCAATGCATAGAAGAGGAATGACCAATAAACCAATAAACTTTTTAAGGGATGGCCAACTTGTTAGAAATCAGGGAAATGAAAAGCTTGGTTCTATCAGGCACTGATAAGAGTGAAGTTAAGATTTCTCAACAGCAGCAGTATTTTTTTTCCTTTGGAATTTCAGGAATTTTTATTTTCATTTTTTTGCATTTCCCACTTTCAACATAAAAACCTGTTTCTTTTTTATTGAGATATAGTTGATTTAGGGCTTCCCTGGTGGCTCAACTGGTAAAGAACCTGCCTGCAATGCAAGAGACCTGGGTTTGATCCCTGGGTTGGGAAGATCCCCTGGAGAAGGAAACAGCTACCCACTCCAGTATTCTGGTCTGAAGAATAGTCCATGGGGTTGCAAAGAGTTGGGCACGACTGAGTGACTTTCACTTGATCACTAATAGTTGATTTATGATGTTATATTAGTTTCGGGTATACAGCATGGTGATTCAAAGTCTTTATAGATTATATTCCATTTATGGTTACTATAAAATACTGGCAGTCTTTCCAGTATTTTGGCTATTGTTCTATACAGTGCACCCTTTATTAGCAGCACTATTGACATTCTTTGTTGCTGGGGGTTGTCTTGTGCACCGTAGTATATTTTGCCATATCCTTGGCCTCTAGCCCTTAGATGCCAGTAGCACCCCTGCCAAAGCTGTGACAACCAAAACTGTCTCCAAATATTACTTAATGTCCCCTGGGGGCAAAAATCATCATTGGATGAGAACCAGTGGTACAGGGAAAGGATTATTCTCCTAGAAGCCATTGGGAACATGAATTAGAACAGCCACATTGGAGAACAATTTGTCAGGATCTACTAAACTTTAAAACACACCCCATGACTCAGTAACCCCACCTCATGGTGTCTCTACATGGAGAATATAGGCATGTGGGCACAAAGAGGCCTGTTTGCAGTGTTCTGTGTGGTGATGAAAACCTGGGAATAATGTAAATGCTCATCAGCAGGGCAATGCAAATAATCTATAGTGTAGTTCTGAGGATGCTATTTTTAAAGAATGAGATAAAGGTGGAATCAACCCAAATGTCCATTGACAAACTGAATGGATAAGGAAAATGTGAGGTATGCATAAAATGGAATATTATTCAGCCTTAAGAAGGAATGACATTCTGCAAAGTGCTACAATGTAGAGGAACCTTAAAGTCATGAATGAGTTGCCATGCTCTCCTTCAGGGGATCTTTCTGACCCAGGGATCAAACCCTGGGCTCCTGCATTGCAGGCTGATTCTTCACTGTCTCAGCCACCAGGGAAGCCGCAAGTCGAATAAGCCAGACACAAAGAGGCTAAAATTGTATTATTCCATTTATAAGGGTACCTTGAATAGTCAAGATCATAGAGACTGAAAGTAAAACAGTGGTCTCTGAAAGCAGCAGTGAGGGGAACATGGGGTTATTGTTTATTAAATACAGAGTTTCTGTTTGTGATGATGGAAAGTTCTGGAGATGGACAGTGGTGGTAGTTGCACAATACTTTGAATATACTTAATGTCACCAAACTGTACACTTAAAATGGTTAATATGGTCAGTTTTATGTTATGCCTACTTTACCATGATAAAAAAAAAAGACCAGAATGAGGTAGATGTCTATGTATTGATATGAAAAGTTCTCAAAGACATAATAGGGAGTTTAAAAAAAAACATGCAGATTTAAACACATGTATCTAAAAGAATAGGAAGTGGGACTGGTTACCAGAGGAGGGGGCTGGCTTGAGGACAGGGCCTAAAAATTTTGGTCTTAGCTATCATGTTTTAATTTTTTGAAAGGAGGATGTATTCGTGTATTACTATAGCATTTAAAAATAATAATACTTCTTATAATACCTCTGGGAAGAAGTCTCAAGAAACCAGTGACACTGGCTATCTCTCCTTGAAAGGAAACCTGGTACTTGGGAGGACAGAGGTGGCAGGTAGATCTCATCCTGTTGTACCCTTTGAAATTTTAACTGTGTGACATTATTATCTATATAATTAAAATTTATAAATAAAGTCAATAGTTATAAAATTCATCTTCAGCTCAGTCCAGTCGCTCAGTCATGTCCAACTCTGCGACCCCATGGACTGCAGCATGCCAGGATTCCCTGTCCATCACTAACTCCCAGAGCTTACTCAAACTCACGTCCAACAAGTCAGTGATGCCATCCAACCATCTCATCCTCTGTTGTCCCCTTCCCCTCCTGCCTTCAGTCTTTCCCAGCATCAGGGAGTCAGTTCAATGAGCCAGTTCAAACCAGTCAGTCCAATGAGTCAGTTCTTCACATCAGGTAGTCAAAGTATTGGAGCTTCAGCATCAGTCCCTCCAATGAATGTTCAGGACTGATTTCCTTCAGGATTGACTGATTTGATATCCTTGTAGTCCAAGGAGCTCTCAAGAGTCTTCTCCAACACCACAGTTCAAAAGCACCAATTCTTTCGTGATCAGCCTTCTTTATGGTCCAGCTCTCACATCCATACATGACTACTGGAAAAATCATAGCTTTGACTAGATGGACCTTTGTCAGCAATGTTTCTGCTTTTTAATACTTTTAAAATTCATCCTCAGTTAAGCTCAAAACAACAGACTTTTGTCCTTTGTAGCTCCCATAGTTCATTTCCTCCCTTCCTTCCCAACCCAGCCATCAAAAAAAATCTTCACGCTCCAAGAGTGTTCTCAGAAGGTCATTGTTAGTGACTTTTCCCCACGGAATCATGTTTTCCAATCCACAGAGATTTTGAAACTTCACAAAAGTCCCAGCTTTGGCTCAATTCTGTATCACAACAATTCTACAAAATTTAATAGGTGTTAGTCTTTTGTGTTTCTGAGTTCTCAGAGCAAGCCTGAGCAAAGCTGAAAGTCAAGCCCACAGTTGCAGAGGCTTTAATCTCAAAGAGTTCCTTTCACTTGGGAGCCCATGTGGTTGGTAGCATCCAGCTGTTAAGAACATACAGTATCCAAGGGGAAAGAAGCCTGGGTCCTCGTCCTGACTCCACACCCACGATGAGTGATCATGTTAATTTTACTCAGTTTCATGGCCTATGAGATAGGCACAGCATACCCCTATCCTTTTCTATTTCTCAGGGTCATCCCAGGAGAGATGAAGACCACCTAGTTGAGAGTCCACAAATCCCATGTCAGGAAGGGCCTGCATCTCTCAGCCCCAACATCCTCACCCTTGCTTACCTGTGCCCTGTGCTCACATCCTAGGTATGTACCTGTGGGCATCATGTTCCTGGTTGGAAGCAAGATTGTCGAAATGAAGGACATCATCATGCTGGTGACCAGCCTGGGGAAATACATCTTCACGTCTATATTGGGCCATTTTATTCATGGAGGAATTGTTCTGCCACTTATTTATTTTGTCTTTACGAGAAAAAACCCATTTAGGTTCCTCCTGGGCCTCCTCACGCCATTTGCAACAGCGTTTGCCACCTGCTCCAGGTGAGTGGTTTTCAGGTGCCCTTGGCTGCCCTTGAGCTTGGAACCAGAGAAGCCCGTGGTGGATGCACAACTAGCATCTTGACAAATTTTAATTTCTTGAAAACTCTAAATTGGTTTCATCTGATTTTTTTGCACTGCCAGCCCCATAGCTCTTAGGGAAGTAGACTTTTAGGATTGCCAGAATGAGACATTGCCTCATTCCCTTCTCCTTCTTGCTTCTTAGAGGTCAGTTAGATCATAATTTTGCCCAGCTGGGAGTCCTCACCCTAACTAGACCTCAGCCTGAGTGAAAGGAGACAACCACTTGACTCAAAACGCATTGCAGGAAAGCTTCTAGAATGATACCTGCTCAGTTCTCCCTTTGGATGGGTGAATTAGGAAATAAGACCAAGGCATAACGCATCCTGGTGAGGGGTGTGTGCTCAGCTCTCTAGCAGTCCACAATATTGTGGGATTATCTAATTTAGCACGAAAGATGGACCTTGTCATGGCTGATATTCTTCCAGAAAAACACTGGGCTTTCCAAATACAAAGAAAACTTTCAAAGGATGGCAGCACATCATTTGATTCACACCTTTAGTTTTTGCCCCCGCTACTGCATGTATCCCACCATCCTGCCCTGCAGTGTCTGTGACAGGGTTGTGGTGTGGGAGGAATGCAGGAGAGAAGTTTCTCCGCATGTATCCCACCATCCTGCCCTGCAGTGTCTGTAACAGGGTTGTGGTGTGGGAGGAATGCAGGAGAGAAGTTTCTCCGGCTTTGGCAGAAACCAGCCTATTTCAGCTATGCCAGCCACACGCTGCAGACTCTGCAGAACCCACTGGAGGGAGTGGGTCCTCTTCTTCATTCTCTTGGGATGCGGTTCCTCTTTCCAAACTTTCAGAGCCATTTATTTTTTCTCTTTTTTTGGCCACACTCCCACGGCATGCAGAACTTCCCTGACCAGGGATTGAACTCACGTCCCCTGCAGTGGAAGCGCAGAGCCTTAACCACTGGACCACAAGGGAAGTCCTGTCAGAGTCATTTTTGCTTCTTGGCCTAGAAGAAAAAACATAGTTTGCCTTTTACTTTTTGGAGGGGAACATGTTCAAGAGAGGAGAGTAAATAGTTCTTTGTTCTCTTGAGATTATTTTGCACTGAGACAATGTGTGGTTCTTGGGAAATCTGGAACAGGTGTATCCGGGTGAAAAAATACCGAAAGTCTAGAAAGCCCAGTTTTGAACACTTTGGGAAAGCAATTGACAAAACCCCATGTATGACAGAAACTCTGCAACAATTCTGATTTTTCTTTATTTCAAGGGGAGAGTGCCATAACCTAGGATGGTGCTAATAGTTCTGTTCCTGGGTCTGAGCTGAGTAATAGGTTAGCCTGGTCACGAAGGACTATTCTCTTATTTGGTTGTTTGCATTTCCCAGCTCAGCAACCCTTCCCTCTATGATGAAGTGCATTGAAGAAAACAATGGTGTAGACAAGAGGATCAGCCGGTTCATTCTCCCCATCGGGGCCACTGTGAACATGGATGGCGCAGCCATCTTCCAGTGTGTGGCTGCAGTGTTCATTGCCCAGCTCAACAACGTGGAGCTGAGAGCTGGACAGATTTTCACCATTCTGTAAGTTCTATATTCTTTCCTTCATCTTTAGGCCTGGTTTAAACTTTGAGATTTTTTTTGTTGCGATTTCCTTTTAAAAACTTCATGAATACAATCTTTCCATGACTTGGGTGTCTCATTTGTAAATGAGGACAGCATGAATTCATTACTTGAAGAAAGTGGATCCTCTCTCAAGGGTACAGCCAACAGACTAGGGTTGTGTGGTTTTCAGTTCCAAGCCATGGCTGCCATGTTCTGCATGTCTCTGTGTCCCCTCGGTGCTCCGGGCTCATGGCTGATCCTGCTGTCCCATCCCCTAGAGTGACTGCCACGGCATCCAGTGTTGGAGCAGCAGGTGTGCCCGCTGGAGGGGTCCTCACCATCGCCATTATCCTGGAGGCCATCGGGCTGCCCACTCATGACCTCTCCCTGATCCTGGCTGTGGACTGGATTGTGTAAGTAGCAAGTCCTAAGGGCACTGAATAAAAGAAAGTCTGTTTTGAGCTCCTTAGGAGCTTGGCACTGGCCCAGGGCATGCAGAGAAACTTAAAACATGCCATTACTGAGAACTTGCTTAGAACATTCAGGAAAGTCAGAGGCCCAAGTGTCTATGGAGATTGTTGGCTGCATAGGGGTCATAACCATTGGAGCAGTGAATCTTCGGGAATAATCGATTGTCCTTGGCCTGGAATGTCCAAGGAGTGATTTCTGTAAGGGGAGAAAAGATGAGCACTGCTAATGCAAGTGCCTGGGCTTGTGCTCAGGGGCGGAGTTAGAAAGGAGCTGTGATCTGGGTAACCATTACCAGGGCTCCTGTAAAGACACAGAACAGTTTCTAACTGTTGCTTCCTTGAGTCCCATGACACTTTTCTCAGATACAAACAATACCTGTATCATAGGGAAGGTCAGTGAGGAACTGATGTTGGACAGTAAGTAGAGCATGTGAATAAGAAATGAGCCTTGAAAAAAAAAAAAAGAAAGAAAGAAATGAGCCCTGGAGCCTGGGTTCATATCATTTACTAGTTGTGTGATATGAACTGTCTGTGATTTAGTCTGCCAGTCTGTCGAAAGGAATAAGAACAGAGCCCTACGGCAGACCTGTAGTGGAGACTGAGTGAGTTAGCACATGCACATCACACAGAAGCGCGTTCAGGCAGCACTGGGGAAGACACTCCTGGCCAGGCTGGTCAGAGCCGGGTATGGAGACGCCGACCACTAGAGCCTGGCCCTGGGCTGGTGGATCTGCCCATCGTGGTTAGGAGTGCTAGGTTCCAACCTTATTTTTAAGCCCCGGAAACTTGAAGGGACTTCTCAGAATTCCTTGAGCTCCTTGGGGGTGAAAAGTGCTTTTGGAGATGCACAGTGTTCAGACAGCACATCAGAGGGACTCAGTCCCTGTGGTGGTGAGTAAGAGGGACCAGGGCAGTGTCAGAGGCCCCGCCTCCTTCCTCACCGGCTCCCCTCCGTGGGGAAGGCAGGCATTTAAGGGGTGCTTGGTCAGGATGAGGGAGGTCTGGCACCAAGCGAGCTGTCCAAGGGAGACCCCCACCACCCACAACCTCTGATTCCACAACCCTCAGCTTCACCAGCGCCTCAGGCAAGTTCCTATTTTCCCTCCTTCAGAATGCGCATGATACTTCCTCTGAGCCCCAGGGAGGGGTGCTGGTTGTTGGGCTCTGGGAAGACAAAGCTTCTGGAAAGGGCAGTGCTGTTCTCTGTGAGATGGTATTTGCCAACAGCCATGGGAAGCACATGAAGGTTACAGTTCAGTAGAGATGCAGTGTAGACGTGAGACGGGGAGGGAGGTTCCCACAGGATAATGGTGAGTGGGAGGGAAGGTGGACCCAGGACTGAATCTGCACCATCACCCCAGTTGTGTGTGGGTACTTAGTCGCCCAGTCATGTCTGACTCTTTGCAACCCCGTGGGCTGTAGCTTGCCAGGCTCCTCTGTCCATGGGGATTCTCCAGGCAAGAATACTGGAGTGAATTGTCATTCCCTTCTCCAGGGGATCTTCCCAACCCAGGGATCAAATCCAGGTCTTCTGCATTGCAGGCAGATTCCTTACCATCTGAGCCACCAGGGAAGCCCTCGTCATTTATTTATAACTTTTACATGATGGTGTCTCACACGTGAAGTGCACACATAGGGAGATTTCTGGAAGGAAACATATCTAGATGTCACTACTGGTTCACCCCTGGATGCAGAGGATGGGGGGAGTGACTTTTGTTTTTTCCTTCATATTTCTCTTCTTCCCAAGTTTTCTACAATGAGTGGGTCTGTTAGTTTCATAAGAATGAAAAATATTTGGAGAAAATCAGTTTAGCATCAAGCAGCACCCCACGCCCTTAGCTTGCTCTCCTGCAGGGTCACATCACAGCCTCCTGGTACCTCGGCCCGCAGTGACGTCCGCCCCCTGGTGGCTCCAGGCGGCATCGACTGTAACGCCTGCCTCTTCTCCCCCTGCAGGGACCGCACCACCACCGTGGTGAACGTGGAGGGCGATGCCCTGGGTGCGGGCATCCTCCATCACCTGAATCAGAAGGCGATGAAGAGAGGGGAGCAGGAGCTGAGCGAGGTCAAAGTGGAGGCCATCCCTAACTGCAAGTCGGAGGAGGAGACGTCGCCCCTGGTGACACACCCAAACCCTGCCGGCCCAGCAGCCAGCACCCCAGAGTCTAAGGAGTCGGTTCTGTGATGGGGCTGGGCTTCCAGCTCACCCACCGGGGGTGCCCACCCCATCAGTCTGGCCACCTGGCCCTGGCACCGCCCTCACTGACTTTTTGCCTCCCGAGCAATGCATTGGCCCAGCCACCGGTTTGGCGGTTACTTCTTGGCACAGACATTGGGGTTCCGGACCAAGACACTCAGACATCTGACACTCGACCATGACAGGTCAAGTGTGCGCACCCCGGCTCTGTCTGGAAACAGACCCTCGAGCTGCCAGGGTGGGGAGTTACAGGCTCACAGAGACCTGGCAGTTAAAGCTTGGAAGATGCACATGTTATTGCATTGCACCCAGGAAAGTTCAGCATTTGGATACTTCCTGGACAGACCTGGGCGGGTGGCAGTCATCTGTCACCTTGTGAGCCAGAATAATTGGAAAAATTCCCAAATTCGTATTCTTGGCTGGAATTCTCTGAGCTGGGACTCAGGTGTTAAAGAGTCTCTGACTAGGCGTGGCTGGCTTCTGGGTCACTGGGCTGGAGGCGTTGTGTGCCCATCAAGTTAGAAATACTCCATGGTGTTAGCACTGCTGGTATCTCTGGTTAGCGGCATTAAGTAAACAAGTACATTCTGAAGTCAAAGAAAGGAGGGGGAGTGCAGCCTGCAGGGGAAAGGGAAGCAGCCCGACAGGTAAGGACACACACTCACACACACACACACACACACTCACACACACGAATATTAATGTCCCCAATCTGGCCCCAGCCCTGGGAAGTTTTCTGCTTTCGTGACCTGGACCTCTGCCAACACTGTGGCTTTAACCACCTCCACTCTGATTTGGCAACAGGCCACAGAGGGGCCTCTGCCTCTGGGGAGGTGTGATATGATCATTACATTCAGGACCCTGACTGGTTTAGCAATAGATTTCAATCCAACTAGACCCTCCCTTAAAGCAAAACAAATTTTTTTTTTTTTTAAATACTACAAACCCACCCTTCACTGGGGTGAAGCCAGATGTCCTGGCTTTGGCTGATTTGGATAAGCTTGGTTTCCCTTTCCTCCAGTACATCAGAGTTTAAAATTATCAGCCAAATGGTCTACCTGATACCTACTGACTCAGGTTGAACCTTGGAGAGGGGGCTTTATAGACAGAACCAGTGTTGCCAGGGGCAGGGAAGGAAGACCTAAAAGGCACAAGACTGCTGTTTCGCTGTAGTTGGTGTGTATGTGTGGGGTGACCTACAGCAAGTCCTGGGGCCTCACTTTACCCCATCAGTAAAATGGGGCTGATGTCACCTGCCTTTTACCTACCTCAGAGGAATCTGGTGAGGCAAACTGAGTGAATTTGTGGAAAATGACCATTTCACATCTTGGCTATTAAGTGCTAACACTTAACCCCGTACCTTCCTCACTGTTACCTAAGTGATACCTAAGTTCTCCAGGAGGCTCCTTCTCCCAGGGAGGACAGCTTTTATGAGCAGGGCTTTGTTTTGTGTGCAGGAGCAACTGTTGTCATGTCACTTGTCCTCTAGGCAGTTTCTTGTGAGCATCAAATGCATCCTCTTCCTGTTGTCCTTCATCTTTTTGTAAATTAACCTCCCAGACCACTTGTGGGTCCCTGGCCTCCCAGTGACTCCCAGACCCAGGCACGTTTCTGCCACCACACGCTGGCCATTATTCAAGCTCCCAAACTTTCAGCCTTGCTCATTCCCCTGTTTTTTCTGTTGCTATCACCCAGGCCCTGCAGAAGGGGAGCACACCATTATGATGCATGTCCCATCACAGCTCGAATAGGGGGAGGGACAGAGACAGTGAAGCTCCCCTATTTTAAGATTATGGGGCATGGGCCTGAGCATAAGTGGTGGGGAATAGCCAAGGGGCACAGGGAAGACCCAGCCAGTGGGCAGGCCCTGCTCTCTCTAGCCCTCTTTAAAACAAGCTAAGCCACTCCTGTGAAGCAGGAGTGCAGTACACGGAAGCCTTTACCCTCTGGCTTGTTGTTGATGCCTTCTGTTTTTGAAGGAGAAATAATCATATGGCTAGATTCCAGACTGCAAGTGAACATTCATTATTTTTCAGGCTTTGCTAGATCTTATTTTTCCCTCTTCCACATCTATGTAACTATGTGTGTACACACATATGTGTAGCATGTGGGGGGTATACATGTGTTTAGCATCTATATCTACATGTGTGTTTGTGCATTTTAGCTCCAGTCCAAACAAGTTTGAATTTTTGGACAGAGATGAATTAACTGCAAGTTGTGTGGCTTTGGCATCCTGATTTTCCTGTTTCTAAAGCTGAATTTCACAAAACATGGACAGTCTGACCCAGGGGCTGCACACACTTTCTCCAGGACCTGGCAGTGCAGTGTGGGGAGCACGTGGCCTAGGGAAGGGTGCTTCCATGTAAAACCCCTATGATGATCGCTCCCCTCTCCCTGGTTTCTCCGTTTTTCTGTCCGAAAGAGGAATCAGACTGGGGGTGACCCAGCTGGGGGAACATGCCACCCTCTCATTGTCTGATGATGTGTCCCCTGCTCTAACATGTTGTAATGCTGTTCATCTCTGTTTTCAATATGTGACACTTGCCTTAAAACATAGCAGTCTTCAAAATGAATACAGCATTTCTACTAGAATCCGATGTTCCTTTATTTTTTTCTTGTGTTTTGAAGTTGCATTGACTGGTGGAGTTCTCCTGGGGGATGGCCTGTGGGCGACAAACTGAGGGGTTATTTTTCTAGCTACATTTAGCCAGCATGACCCCCTGTAGCAGGGCAGGCCACTCAGGTGGCATAGCTGCTGCAGAACCGTCACTGATGAGGCTTGTGGTGGTGAGCTCCAGGCTCCTGGGCTCCTCCCACTCAACACTAGCAGGGCCCTTGAAACAGTGAGTAGTTTGGCCACATGTCTCCATTAAGCCAAGCCTTGTTAGGACAAGTAGGTCAACAGGTATTAATTGACCATCTAGTGTAAGCCCGGAGCCAAGCTGGAAGAATGCCCCAGTCTGTAGAATCACTGAGAAAGTCCCTGCATAAAACAGTTGCCTGTGCCTACCGTCCTCATTAACACACCCAGAACCTTCGTTCCTATCATCTCAAGTTCAGTTGGGGCTTTCCAGGTGGTGCTAGGGGTAAAGAACCCGGCTGCCAATGCAAGAAACTTAAAAGACTTGGGTTCAGTCCCTGGGTCATGAAGATCTGGAGGAGGGCATGGCTACCCATTCTAGTGTTCTTGCCTAAAGAACCCCATAGACAGAGGAGACTGGCGGACTATAGTCCATGGGGTTGCAAAGAGTCAGACATGACTGAAATGACTGAGCGCACATGTTCAGTGACATTGCATCCCAGCACTATTAGGAAATTTAGAAGCTTTTTACCGTAGGATTATCCCACCAGCTCCCAATGACAGCCTTAGTTTCCAGACCCTGGGCCCTCTGAAGGAAGAGAACCCTGCTCTCACCTGGAGATATCCAGCCCTCCACATAATATGGAAGCCAGTTTTACTTTCTGGGCAAGGCCCAAAGGGATGAGGAGAGCCTGCATAGATCCAGTGCCTGATGGGGCTTGTTACTAATGACATATAGATTCCCACCTTGGAATGTGGCTCCCTTGATTCTCTGGGTGGAGTATTTGGAGACTGGGGTGAGTACTCAGTGATTAAGCTTTTCGATATCAAATCAAGAATGGCAGTTCCATAAGCCACCTCTTCCCAGGGGAGAAGAGAGGGTGCTGATCTGTTGGGTCACTGAAGCCTGCACAGAGGAACATCTGGTGACACCATGAACGCATGAATGAAGCAGCAAGGAGGAATATGCACTGTTTGTGTCCAGTCCCAGCTCTGCCACTTCTTGCTGTATGACCCTGGGCATGATAACGTCTCTGTGCCTCAGTCTATTCGTCTTTAAAATGGGATAATAATCCTGCCGGTGGCATAGGCTTGTGAAGAGTAGCGGAGTTGATACATGCAAGATGCTCAAAAGAGTGCCTGGCCCAGGAAAGTTCCTCTGTCATGCTGGCTCTCAGATCAGACACACTGGCAGAAGAGCTTCCCAACCAGCCTGTGGCCCTTTGCATCAGGCCCAATGAGTGGTATTTCCTTATTTGGCTTGGAAAGACAGAAAGGAAGATCTATTTCAACTCGTGGGCCTTTCTGCAGATCTGTGCCTGTGTGGTATGACAGCATGCCCATGTTGAACATTTGTCCTAAAAATATTTGGATAACTACCTAAAAGAAACCAGGCTTGATAAATGATTGTCAGGATGCATGTGAATGTCCCTTATTCATAACAGAAGCCCACGTCTAGAAAACTCAGGCTTTCCTTCCTTCAACTATTATCCTCCCAAGTTGCAACTCTGAATGCAGACAGCTGCTTCCAGCAGGGTCCTGCCTTCTACACAGGAAGTGGCTCTCTTGGCCTAAACTCAACCCCTTTTCCTCATGTTCGGGGACACAAAGGCAGGCTTCTGGTCTACCTCCCTAGGGCCCTGGGCCCCCTCCTTGAGGCTCTCAGTGAATGAGAATGAGGGAGCATATAACAAGGGGGAAATCTTGAGTCATTGGAAGAAAACTTTCCCATCGCAAGGGAAGAGCACTGTGATCCCCACTGTTTTCCATCTTTTCAAAGAATTGGAACTGAGTATCCTAAATTTTCTCTTCTCAGAGTCTCAAACCTACATTATTTTCTACAAACAATATACAGAAGAGTGTTGAGCTAGATTTTTTAGCAGATTTAGGGTTATTTGGAGTGACACACAAGACTGAGATGATAGTTTTGGGATTCTTAGTGTGGTCTTCATGACTGTCCCCTAGCTCTGCCTTTAGGGGAAAAAGAAAAGCATGCATTAAGCTCAGACATGGTCCTTCTTTGTTAAAAAAAAAAAAAAAAGTTTCAGCAAATGTCCTGAGGTCAATGAAGACTCAATGTCTCTTCATTTTCTGGAAAAAAAAAAAATAGAATTAAAAAAAATTTTTAAAAATAATACACACACCATAAAATTCTCTTCTTTAAAGATTTAGTAGTTTTTAGTACATTCAGAGAGTTGTGCAACCATCACCACAATCTGATTCTAGAAGATTTTCATCAGCTCAAAAAGAAACCCAGAATCTCTGACAACGGATTTTCCTATTCTGGATATTTTGTATTTGTAGAAATAGATATTTTCTTTTATAGATACATCCCAGATAAAAAGAACTGATGTTTAAAATCACTGGGACTTCCCTGGTGGTCCAGTGATTAAGTCTCCACACTTCTGATGCAGGGGACGGGTTCGATTCCTAGTCCGTAAACCAAGATCTCACATGCCGATGGGCATAGCAAAAAAAAAATTACCTTTGGGGGAAAAGAGTGTAATCATTGTCCACCTTCCCACACACACCCACAGGAGAGTCTGTAAGATATTTTCTCTTTTTTTTAACATTTATTTATTTATCTGGCTGCTTTGTTGGTCTTAGTTGTGGCATGCAGGCTCAGTTACTCTGCAGCATGTGGGATCTTGGCTCCCCAGTCAGGGATTGAACCCACATACCCTGAATTGCAAGTCAAATTTGTACCCCTGGACTACCAGGGAAGTCCCATGTAAGATCTTCATTATCATCAGATATAGATTCAGTCATTTTAGCCTATTGGGGAAAAAAAAAAGAGGGGATTGAATTTCTAGGTTAATAGTGGATAACCAGAACACTTAACTAATTTGAAGAGCTTTTCCCCACACAGGTGTAGCTGATGAAGGTCTAGGTATCTAGACCACACGCTAAGTTATAGTGTGGCCTGGATCCAGGCAACTGAGTCTGCTAACATTCTGTTCTCTGCACTGTGCGGTTCCATGCCTGATATGGCGCACATTGTGTTCTGTGTAAGTGATGCTCCCTGAAGTTGTGTATTGTGCAGACTTTATGGTTATACACAGCAGCCCTGACCTCAGAAGGTGGACGAATTGATGCTTTTGAACAGTGGTGCTGGTGAAGACTGTCCCTTGGACAGCAAAGAGATCCAACCAGTCAATTCTAAAGGAAATCAATGCTGAATATTCATTGGAAGGACTGATGGTGAAGCTGAAGATCCAATACTTTGGATACCTGATGCAAAAAGCCGACTCATTGGAAAAGACACTGATGCTGGGGAAGATTGAAGGCAGGAGGAGAAGGGGGCAACAGAGGACGAGATGGTTGGATGGCATCAATGACTCCATGGACATGAGTTTGAGTAAACTCTAGGAGATAGTGAAGGACAAGAAAGCCTGGCATGCTACAGTCCATGGGGTGGCAAAGAGTTGGACACAGCTGAGCAACTGAACAATAACAAATAAAAAGCATGTCGAAAATGTCTGTCCTGTAAAAAAATTTTTTTCTTTTCTTTTTAATAGGTGGTGGCTGATGAGTCTCAGAGGCAATGAGGTTGAGGTTAAGAGGAACCTCCTTAATGAACTTCCCTAGTCAGGTTGGTTTTCCTGTTGGTGTGTCTTTCACAGGGTCTGTTGCCAGGCACTTTGTGGCATCAATGTACCCTTTATCTCTCTAGGCCACAGAGCAACCTGGGCTGCCTTTTTGGGTTGCTCCCAGACCCCCCTCACCTCCAGCCATGTCCATGTAAGAGAAGCAATCTTACGACAAACAGGTCTTGTGAGTGGCAGGTAATCTGCTCCATTCAGTCCTTCCAGAAACAAGAGCAACAATAGCCAGGACTGAAAGCATCCAGACACTAAAGAGTACAGTGCTCTGTGGGGCATTATTCCATTTATATCAGCAAAAGTGACCAGGGTTACAAGTCAGTTGAGTAGCCACAATCAGATGGAGAGAGGGGCGATGATTGGAAGGGAACTACAGGGGCCTCCAGAAATGCTGGCTATGTTCTGCTTCTTGATCTGAATGGGTGTTTACTTGGTGATAATGCATTAAGTTGACCGAATATGTTTTATACATTTTCCATTAGTCAGAAATACTTCATTAAGAAGAATAACAGGGTTGGTGGCATGACATGGCAGGAGATCCAGCTCTCTGTAGTGGTTCCCAGTCTCTCTGGGTGACCATGTCTTTTCTTAGGTGTCCTGTGGCCCATGGGAAATGCTCTCAGCTAATTGCACCCTGACCATCTAGAGCAGCAGGTCAGCCAGCCGTGGCCCCCAGGTCAAAGACAGCCTGCTTCTTGCTTTTGTATGGTCTCGGGCACTGCTCCAACAGACAAAGAGCAGCCAAGGAGACTACGCATCGGTGGCCCCATCCACCCAGGTCAGGGCCAGATCACCCATTAGTCTCAGTACACACAGGGCCGAGGGTCCACAGTACATTTAGGAGCCCAAGAAAATATTTTATTTTGAAAACAGAAGGAAAGCATATAGTTCAGACTGAATTTCATTTGTCTTTATAAGACCACAGGTCCAAAATGTAATCTTTAATATGTGTATCTGATACAGGGGCCTGTGTGGTAGAAAGTCATACATGGCCCAGACCACAGTTACAAAATGTAATCTTTAATATGTGTATCTGATAAAGGAGTCCATGTGGTGGAAAGTCATACATGGCCCTGTCCCTGTTCCCCACTCCACTCTCAGCACCAACTTCTGTGGCTGGAGGCTACATGTTATCCCTGCCCAGGGCCTACACTGTCACCACCTGCATGTTGAGAACTTTGCTGTTGGCA